TGGATCTACTTTTATGGTATCCCTAACAAGCGTTCTAACATGATGTGGATGGGTAAGGAAAATCAGCGTCCAGTGGTGGCCAAGCCAGGATTTCAGAGCAGGAAGAGACTTTTTTCCATTTTTTCAACTACGAAGGGCCATATATATCCTACCTGTGAAGAGTACTGCAACACTTACTACTGCAACACTGTCCTCCCCAAGATGGTTGAAGCTATGGAAAAGAAGCGACCTGAGACGGGACCAAGTCGCGTCCTGCTCCACCATCACAATGCGAGTCCCCACAAGACAAAGGCTGTTATGGAGTATATAGACAACCAAGGAATGACCCTTGTGCCTCATCCTCCTTATAGTCCAGGGTGGTGGGGTAGCCTAGTGATTAAAGCGTTGGCTCGTCACGCCGAAGACCCGGGTTTCGATTCCCCACATCAGCTTAATTTAAGCTATTTTATACATTGAGTGGTTTGCACGCTCAGCTTAAACATAAATAACAATTTTTATAGCAGTTTTATGCTTGTCAGAATATGTTTCACTGATGTTAAAAATCCAGTCGAGAGGCAGACGCCATTTTGTTTGCATGTCATATAGCCGGTAGCGATCTTTAACATAAAATATAATGATATTTTGTACATTTAACATGGCGGTAAGATAAATACGTTGTATGCTCCTCCCTCGGGTAATACCGGCTCGTGTGACACTGCTACAAGAGGCGTGAATCAGACTGTATTACCCTCGAGAGAAGCATACAACTTACAATGTGGCCCAGCATCGATCACTGCTATGACTTTATGACATGTGGCCCAGCATCGATCATTGCTATGACATGAAGCTCACTGGTATCTCTTATGGAATGAAAATACGCAAATGAACTTTTGATACGCAAGGACATTCTTAAACGGATAGTTCTGGTTTATCAGAATCCGGTGATGACTGGACCTCAACACACCGGCAGATGCAAGCTGACTTCTTTATCATTAGCAATATTTTATGAACAATATTGCTTTCAAATTGTCCAAGCACAAAAATCGTCCACGTTAAGTCGGCAAATGAGACGTCGGTAATATTTGAGTTTATCGAAAATTACTTTGACTGATCGATGCTTCTATAGAGGGTTTGGCTCTAGGATCCGCTTTATCTAATTCCTGGCAGAGCATAATTCAAGACAACCTCCAGATTGCACGACAAGACGTTATGGAATCATGTGCCATCTTCATTTTTCATTTAAAATGTCATATTTGTCAATCAAAATATCAATAATACCACATAACTTTACATATCTCTGTACTTGTAATGAAGTGGAAAATGATCATACATCCACATGTACGCGATAAGAGATCAATATGTCATGACAAAAATATGTCATAAGCTATGATATTCCAAATAATCTAGCGATCTCTATATCAATAGATGTTTTTGTACGCCTAGAGGAAGTGTTCCAGCTTTGTGTACTTTTTGTATTCATATTATTTTTATCATGGTTTAAATATCAAACATCTTCATGCATCATGGATTGGTGTTCAAAGTTGCATTAACCCAAACTCCCCAATTTATTGTAGACACATACAAGAAACACCCTGAGCCATGCCAGTGCCTAGTAACTGTGAGCAACCAAAGCGTATCGAGGTGGGGTCATGACTTCCTCCTCGTTCTCACAGTTGCAGGCATGCTTGCTGCATTTCAGCAGGAGCTGGTATTGATAACTGTCTATTAAAAACGAAATGTCAGGAATCACGCCTTAGCAATGGAGCTGATTTTTCGAGCATTCTTATTGTCAAGAGAGAACAGGCACATTGACAAATGCATGAGAATATTCAAAGATTGAACATGCGTGAGTGCGTTTATTGTACTTTTAGCAGTTTTGAAACAATAACATTTAGGAAGCATAGGAAATGAGCTTCAGACATTGTACTCATCGGGAATCGAACCCTGGACTTCATCGTGTTGAACGAACGCTGTAACCACAAGGCTACCCACCACCCTGATTGTACTGGAAACGTGTTATGGCGTTTAAAGTGTTAAGAACAGTCACGTTGACATATGCATGAGAATATGCAAAGGTTGTACAAGCGTGAATGAGTTTATGCTGCTTTTAACAGTTTCACGGCAATAACATGTAGGAGACATAGGCAACGTCACATCGACAATATCTCAACCATATCGTGACGAAAACAATTTGTACAATAAAAAATGAAAACATTTTGAAGAGTATAACCTGTCGAAGAGTGACAGTAAAATATTAGAGTATCACAGATATGCCAAAAGAGGCGTAAAACTAAACTCACTAACTCATACTATCATTATTGTTTTTATATTTCTGTCTTAAAAAACGTTCCACAAGTCGTAAGCATTAATATGCACACTTTGTAATTGTTAGCTTAAGGACTTATATTCCTGTGCCTAGATTTCCGAAGCTCTCTTAGCGCTAAGATAGTCGTAAGTGCCATACATTAACATTAACTTAGCGCCAAGAGAGCTTCAAAGATCTAGGCCCTGGAACCAATCTTATCTTCCTTCACATGTGTCCGCCTGGACAATAGTTCAGATGACAAAAAACAATCGCTGAAAAGGATTTTGAAGAGTAATATTTAAAAGACATGCAACATAAACACTGTAGTTGCATTTTGTACAAGCATTCGCAAATGAATAATGCAAAATTATTCAAAAGAATTTTTTTTATAGAATCTTACAGCAAGAGTTATATTTATTCAATACTGTATCATAATATAAATTTCAAAAGCAGAAGACGCGGACAATACATAGATTGTCTTTCACTGAATGTAAACAGACGTTTTCCTTTTATGTTTGCTGCACAAGAAATAAAAAACAAACATTTAAAGTTCACTTTGTTGATGTCACCACCATGTCCTTGGTGGTAACAAAAATAGATTAGCCGTATCTCGCCAAGTAAGGACCTGGCCCAGGTCTCAGCCACATTTCTAACTAACTGAAAGGTTTTGATGTGAGCCAATTCTGAAACAAGGATATGACTGCAGGCAAGCCCATTTATCAATGAGAGGGTTTCTGTTTCGTTTTGTACCAAACAATCTCTGTCAACAGCATCAACAGATTACTTATCAGTCCAGCTCCAGCAGCAAAGAAGATAATCTGGATCTTGATCAGTCACAGGGGTTTAGGGTAGTCCAACACTGGATATCCGTCATCTTCAGTGGACGCAAACCATTCTTGATAGGTACGCTGCAGGATGCCACTGTTGCTCAGAAGGTACATGCTTATGAGGACAACATATCATCGTTATTAGTTTAGAATGTTACAAAAATCGTACAATGGACTGACGCTGAACAAATAATCGTTACTAGCATACAATATGACCAGGGTGTCGAACATATTCGAATCTGTTCTAATCATATTCAAATACTTTCCCAAGTGGCGTGATAACTAAACTCAAAGTAGCTCACTTTTTAAGATATACAGTTCGCTCTACCACCATGTATAGTGTAATAAAATACACTTTCGCCCTGAACTATTATAGTTAAGGGCGAAAGTGTGCTTTATTACACTATACTTGGTGGCAGAAAGAGAGAACTGTATTTCTTTTCTAAGATGCCAAATTTAATACCTCTAAGGATAATTACGATTACTTTAAGGCAGAACACAAACGACTATGTCGGTGACCTAAATTTAAAATCCTCGCACAGGGCTAACTGGCGCGCTGTTCTATTGATGTGTCTGCCCCCCTACGTTAAGACGAACGTTACCAGAAAAAAACAAATGATAACAGTTTGATGACGGTTTACGTTCGGATTAAATATCTTCTCTGAATTATTTTAATTACATCTGTCATTAACGTAAACCATATGGGGCAATATGAACGTCGCATTTCTACTACCAACGTAAGTTTAGATCAGTACATCCAGATGAAGCTGAGTAGTCAAGCGACATTCCACGATTGCATTGTGGGAATGTAAACATTGCGAACGTTACCGTGTCGCTGAAAACTTGTGAGTCGAATGGACACATGTTAACCGTTCTAAAACATAAACGTAATGTTTCCAACAGTGATGTTAGCTGCGTAAAGCAACTGCAAACCAAGAAACGGGATGCAACGGAGTAGTTTACTGTAGGAGGCCGTACGAGACGATGACAACTGACATGCATCGTGACATCGCTTACAGTGTGACGTAATGTAAAATGGTTCGAGGGGGCACACTAGAATGGCGCAGTGACGGGATAGCGTCATTCAATTGTTACGTCATCAAAAAACTATACCTGTATTGCCTGATAATGTATTTCTTTCTATTGTTCTAACCGCAAGGCATCTTAGAAACTAGTATATGCATAACATCGCTCAACTGGTTCCAGCAAGAGTTATCACTTGGGTGATAGGAAATATTGATCAATCGAACTTCATCGCAATGCTTTACAGACCCATGTCACATGGTCAGTTATTATGACGTCTCTGTAAAATGATACCTCTAACCTCTCTGTCGCTGATGCTGGTTAGGTATTCTTTATAAACACAGGATACCTTTAATTGTTGTTTGAAAAAATGATTGTAAAAATGATTTTACAAAAGAAATTAGAATCCTCTCAATTGTTTATCAATTAAATTTGGAGGTCTCTGTATAATGGCATCTCTAACCCCCTGTCGCTGAACCTGGTTTGGTATTCTTCATAAACACTGGTAACTGGTAATTGCTGTTTACAAATTGACAAGATTGAAAACATGATTTTGGGCAAAAATTAGAACCCCCTCAATTGTACATCAATTAAATCTGATGTCAGAAGATACTTTGGTGAGATTATCTAAGCATTAATACTTTCCTGAAATATCAGTTTTCCCCTGACCCTTTGTTTTACAAACGCGGTACATCTACGCAATCATACCTTTTTGGGAAATCCTTTTTGAAGGGAGAAAACTTTGGGAGAAGGAAGGCCGTAAAAGAACTTTCAAATGTGGTGTCAATCATTTTTAGTTTGCAGTTGGTATGGCGTATGGCAGAAAGAAACGTGCCTCCTAAAAAGGCGTATTTTCCGTCCCATACTTTTTGCAGGTGCTTGGTTGTGTTGCTGCTCAGTACATCAGGATCTCTGGTGGATAAGTCTCGAACTCTTTGTCTCATTGCCATGACATCTGACTTCTTTGAAACCTGAAATTAATAGTAGAGTGCATTTACACGACAAAACTGTAACTAACACTATAAAAATGCATTGGTATTATTACCTATCAAGATTTGTATTTCCAAACAGAGTCTTCATGATTTACTTTACCTGAAGAAGGTGTTCAAGGATGCTTGATGAGTCGTAGCCGGTTTTGTAGTCCTCCCTGTCTGCCAACTCAGCCTTGTTGGAAAATGGAGGCTTTTCTATTTTACAGCAAATATCGCCATGGTCCCACAGTAGACAGCATAGATAACTGTTGTGAACATCCACCATCCTGCTACTAGGACTAATGATCTGATGACCTAACAATTGACTCTGTGTTTAGAATGTTACATGTAAAGCACCTTTCCTATCACAGCCCCTGCGATTTCGGATGGAGTGGATTATTTTGGTATTTTTTTCAAAGCACCGAGCGATTTCCTTTTTTAAGCATTTTGTTGTTGTTGTTTTTAAAGACAGTGCAACATGTTAATAATTCTTTCTTAATGTACAAATCCATTTATATGAAGATTCAACTTGGATTTGTGTTTTTCGTATTCATATCGACCCCCTGAAGTATGTTCAGCATTCATTGTACCAATATATCACGTGTCAAAAGATTTGTGTATTTCGTATTAATATCGACCCACTGAAGTATGTTCAGTATTCATTGTACCAATATATCACGTGTCAAAATGTTTATAATGATCATGATTTGATTAAATTAACAGAAATAAGAGTGGAGGGAGAAACCCAGTTAAATCTGGGTTCGATTCTGTCACAATACGAGATGAATAAGGCAAAGGCGGAAATGAAATAAATGAAATTTATTACAAAAATTATATATATTATATATATATATATATATATAAGCATGCCAAGGCTCACGTCTGCACAACGTCATTAGGCCATTGGGATGGTCCGTAGGGGGATGTCTCAACAAGTTGTAATGGAAAACAAAAGAATTTCCCCCAAATCACCCCCCAAATCACCCTTCATTCATACTCCATTCATCACCAACCATAATCATAGCACACAATCACTTCTATACATACACTCTACACGGAAAAAAACCAAAACCCAGTAGAACAATACATTTGTCTAATGCAACTATTTTACATTGTACAAAGTGTATACCACGTGTATCAAACACGGAATGGGACTGAATGTTCACTGATGATAAAGTTCAATTATAGTTGTAGCTCTTGTCACATTACATCAGGTCATGACGACCTCAGTCTCTCCCACGGTCAACCGTCCTGACGATGTATTCGCTGGTCAGTCAAATGAGGAGGCAACACAAACGCCACTTTTTTACAGGTCGAGGCCATCATACCGACCTGCCTCTTACACACAAGGCGAGGTAATCACACAGATACTCCTCTTGCAAGGTCCGGCACAGGTCCCGGGCACTATACAAATATCATATAACATTTGATACTTAGCATTCAATGTACAACGAGTTTTACGAACTCAGAATGATAGCATACATCATTCAACGTACTAAGAGCATTACATACTCAGAATGATATTATACTTTACAGGATGAATATCACAGCGGCTATTACATTTCACTTAGAACAACTTTTACGTTATTCCACATACAGGCAAGTAAATGTGTTGATTAAACATCTAATTACGACATTGTTTCGCAATGTAATACATATGACTGGATACAGCAAATAATTTACTTGCTACTCAATCGTGAGAAGTGACATTTTAGTATATTTATTGCTCAACATTTGATGATTGACAAAATGAAAACATAATCATCATTTAACAAATACCCATATTTACATAGCTCTACAATAATAATTACAAAACAACATGATAAACATAAATATCCAATAACACAAATTCTACCCACGGCCAAGAAAGACCAGCCATCTTGCAAATACAGCCATCCCTCATCAGACAACTTTCATGACTGCACTCACCAACCCTTGATGCCTAATATAATCAAACTCACACCTTGCATGCATTTCTTGCCATACTTAGACCCTTCATACCCACCTTGCATGCTTTATACACATTCCCACACCTTGGCACTCACCTACTACAGTCCAACCACACTATAACCACAAGTCATACAGTTAAACCAAATTGCCATGGGATCTTGACCAGATTCCAAAGCCTGGTACAGTGTGTGAAGCCCATTTGTAGTTAGCCGTGTGTTGCTTCAATTTTGGGAAAACGATACATCACACTCACAAATATGTTGGATCTTTCTTAGGGATGATATATACATACCTATACATGAAAATAGCTATTGGATACAAAAGGTGCTCACGATCTTAGTTTTGAAATATTTTATCACCTTGTTTTAAAGTGGTCTTCACAAATTTCAAATGTTGTAGAAGTTGTGGCCTGTATTGTCCAGTCGGCAGTGGGACACACGTTTCTGATGGGATATTCGGGTGAACACTCTTGAAGTTTGAAGTCACATGAGAATTCATCAGGCCTTTACCACAGAGTAATCTTTTAGAGAGACAGGAATAAGGCGATGTATGTGATCACTCGATACAGCAAAGCATTATAAAGACTTGAGGTTCAAACGGCGGAGAAGAATCAACAGATTGTCTTCTGTTAGCATCCTGCTCTTTCTTGTATAAGGTCATTTGTTTGCTTTCAGCCTACTGAGGGGCAGGATGTAATCAGACACTGTTGAACGATTAGTATGGATAGTTAGCATGTCCGATGCAAAGGTCAGCCTCCCTGCAATAAATACATGTTGCACAGGCTATAATGAACGCACCATAATTATTGAACTTGATCATTACAGGTTCTACTCCAATGGTATTATCAATAGTTACATAAAGAGCTTGTCCTGATATGAGTTTCCAAATTTGAAGAAATAAGGACAAACGCTAACTGGGAGTACAACCGTTGTAGTGGACGGAGTTGTAAAACTAAGGACATCGTTGATGCATCGTTAAGCAATACTCACTCACCCGCCGCCTGCAGAAAACCAAACACAAAGTCGATCATCATCTAAAATCAACTGATCATTATCGGAACCTGTTGCCTCATACAAGCAACAAGCAAGGGAAAAGGGCATCAGCTGCCGCAATCATACCCTTCTCTGCAGCATACCAAAGATTCCTGTCCAATAACCATTAATGTTCTTGCCCCAATCATCTTCTCTTGGTGGTATGAGCCTGTAACTTTTAAATAAGACTCTATTCTTATATTTCGGGAGAATGACTGACATGCTCGAAGAAGTGATGGAATCGGAATGTTAAAATACATGTGTAAACGGTATTTTAATTTTCTTGTTAAAATGTAATCAATACTGAGATTTCAGTGATATCAAGAGGACTTGCATGAGTTACAAGAATTATCAACTACCGCGAAAACAAACTCTGTTTGTTTAACGCCGCACTGTTCCAGCTGAATGACGGCGGTCTGTAAGCAATCTAATTTGAACCAGACAATCCAGTGATCAACCACATGAGCAGTTGGGATACGATGACATGTGAGAAAAAAGTCAATGAGCCTGGCCACCCTATCCCGTTAGTCGCCTCTTACGACAAGCATGGGTTGCTGAAGACCATTTCTCCCGGGATCTTCACGGGTTGCTTAATTTATGACTGTTCATACATGCGGTGTTTGTTTCCAGTGAATAAGTTCACCTGAAGTTCATCGCTTCAGCCAGCAGGTTCAGTACATGGTAAGGAAACACAAACACCTTCCGCTTGCTCACTTCAAGGTAGCCATAGCCAAAGTCGTTGGTCTGTAAGTACATATGACAGCCACATTAACATACCAAATCAGTACCATTTAGGATCAGATTACAAATATTGACCAGGGGTGGAAAACCATGCATCTCATTTCAGCATTTACATATTATTATAAAATTGCACCTACTGGTAACTGCAGAAAGTGAGTGTAAAAGAACGCATGATTTAATTGATAATGCCAAGAAAAGTAAATTGCATCTCTTAATACATTTCTCCTTTTCTAGACTGAAGCATTGCACAAAAGGGAAAAAAAATAATGACAATTTCTGCTTAATTACCAATATAGGGCTGACATTTTTCATTCACGTCTGTGAAAGCCCGTCCAATGGGGTGAGACATTAGAGTCCACATCCTTGCCCTTGTGAACAGCCCCTCCTATCAAACATTCATAAAGAGTTTAACACTGGCTTAGTCATGATGATAACTCATTGCAATTCCAAGACAAGCATCTTTACATGTGATCTGAGTGATTCTATGACTCATGCAATCAAACAAGACTTCATAAAACTCAATGGTCTGAATTATATTTTGTATTGGAAACGTCAGCTTTTGTGTAGATAACAAAATCTGCATAGACTTTACATAGATTATTCAAACTGATCCGAATGTCTGACTAGAGTACATGCATCTGAATTGAGATACCAACAAAGCCCCTTTATCCTCTTTGACTTCACTGATTCAGTGTCAGTCAATGATTTTATTTCAGTATTAAAGTCTCAGGCGCCCGTACAGTTAATATATAATGACGGTATTTGTAACATGAGTGCAACGGCAAATATTTCCAGTTGTGAAGATCGGAGATTCATTGCATCTGTAATGTGATTTAACATTTAAAGCTGACTTACATTAGGATTATCATCAAACGATCCATTGGGTTAGCATAAGTATGGTCAATATTTTGAATCAATAGTAAAAGATTCTTTGCTCTCTGACAACATCATTCTAGCAACAAAAACTGTGACAACGATCAAAGTGGCCGGAGCTTGACGACACACAAATTGCCTAGGTCACACCAGCGAGTTTCTTTCATTACCTATCAAGTGAGTTCAACAAGCACAGGGTGGTGAAACATTTCTTGTCCCCTATCCGTCGATATCCCTGGTTTGGGTATGAATGTTATATTTACTTTCAACACTTGTCTTCTTGTGGTCATGGTCCTCCTATCGAACTGTGGTGATGAATCCATGACTCACTTGACTTGAAGGCAGTTCCAGCACCGCCACGTTCTCCACCTGGATGTTACTGTCCAGACTACAGGTAAGTCATCTGATGCCCCAACAATTAATACCCGTGAGACGTGACACAAGTCTGCTGAGGAGTTCGATCGTGTACCGCAGACTTGAATCTGGTGAAAGCCCGATAGATTTTTCCCATTCTTGTCACAGAAAGATGTTACAAAAATGTGTTCCTAGACATATTATCGAGTGAAAGAAAAAATACAGAAACTTCATCAATATGTGTATTTATATATACCATAAATTAATATTATTTTCATTCTCTCAGAAGCATGTTAAGTTTCTGGTGTGACACATTAAAACTCACCCCATGATGACATACAATGATGTTGTGGCATCACAGAAAGGCTCCACAGAAAGGTGGCACTGATAAAATACGCGTCAAATTTAAAGTAGTAAATAATGGTGTCATCTACGTGATCTGAGAAATCTCAGTTGTGGTGAACAATTGTGAGTATTGCGAAGGCATTCATCTAGATGTATACATCTACATGTTGGAAATTCATAGACGTTATCACAGATCTCAGGTTGTAAGCGATTGAGATCAGTTCCTCGCCACTGTGAACAGTATCTCATTATGTAACAGCAGTGACATTCCAGTTTAATGTGAGAGAAAGGCCCCTACATTTGAAGGGATAGACAGCTTTAATTGTCCTATTAAATATACGTAAATGGTACTGCAAACTGCAAAGAAACAACCAACGAATTCTGGGTCAGCAGCAATATATTAAACTTCAGCCAACCTCTCATTGCAAGGCATTCGCCTGGATCTGTTGTGGGATGTATTTCGGACGTTTGTTTGCTCTGGAAGGCATTGATCATGTGAAGGGTGCTTACTGGTATATTTTTTAAGCGATTGTTAGAATATGTAAGGATTTTATTTCGCATACCATCTGTCGTAAGATTGAAGCAGTGGTTGTGACGTCACAGAGGATCAGCATGTTGAAATCGGGCATGAGCACCTTCTATGTTTATAAGTGTGACATGAAACTTTTATGATAACGTTGATATTTGTAACGACGGTTTAAAGACTGCTTTCATCTATAACACTAAAAAGTTCCTGATCCGAGGAAAAGACGTTAACCAAGGCCCTCTCAGTATCTGGTACATGACACGGATGCAAAGGATCTGGAACAGACTCTCCTGACCTTTTGGTATATGATAGAAATTGCATATCTGGTTTGGCGGGCTCTGAATTTTGCAGCGAATGTTTTGCTTGAAACCTACTTTGTCCTGGTCTTGGCCTGTATACAACTGCAAATGTCAAATATGGATTTTTCTCGAAAAACATTGGCAGCCTTTACAAACATGACTCTTCTTCGTTTCTGCTGTCAACCAGAATGATGCTAGTCGTTCAAGAATGACTTTGTTTCCAAACTGTCACTTCAATCTAAGAGTTGCAAGTTACTTTGTGACATCATTTTTTTTCAATAATTCAAGAAGTGATAAAATTCAAATGACCATTGTCCTTGTTTGTTTATGAATTCTTGCCCTAGTATGGTGCTCTTCCTACCTTCAGTCGTTAGCAATCTACAGTCTTTTTATATTGTCTTGTCATTTATGGTTCCAATAGTTTAGATTTAATTGCTAGTTTTAAATGGATATCTGTGATACACTAGTAGTTTTACTGTTCTTCGTCAACAGGTGTTTTAAATTTCTAACCTTTATTCATCTTTAATATAATTATAAATGTTCTCTTCACGATATGCCTGAAATGTTGCGTTGTGATTTGATAAATATTAACTCACTCACTCACTCACTCACTAACTATGAAGTCTCTGCAATTGTGAATTTTGAACATGCATACATACATGCATGCATACATACATACATACATACATACATACATACATACATACATACATACATACATACATACATACATACATACATACATACATACATACATACATGCATACATACATACATACATACATACATACATACATGCATACATACATGCATACATACATACATACATGCATACATACATGCATACATACATACATGCATACATACATACATACATACATACATACATACATGCATACATACATGCATACATACATACATACATGCATACATACATACATACATACATACATACATACATACATACATACATGCACATACATACATACATACATACATACATACATACATACATACATACATACATACATACATACATACATACATACATACATACATACATACATACATACATACATACATACATACATACATACATACATACATACATACATACATACATACATACATACATGCATACATACATACATACATATACATGCATACATACATACATACATACATACACACATACATACATACATACATACATACATACACACATACACATACACATACATACATACATACATACATACATACATACATACATACATACATACATACATACATACATACATACATACATACATACATACATACATACATACATACACATACATGCATACATACATACATACATACATACATACATACATACATACATACATACATACATACATACACACATACATACATACATACATACATACATACATACATACACACATACATACATACATATACATACATACATACATACATACATACATACATACATACATACATACATACATACATACATACATGCACATACATACATACATACATACATACATACATACATACATACATACATA